TGGAAGGGGATGGGGAAAAAGGCAACACAATGGAGCAAATGAAAAGGAGAGAGAAGGGAAAGCAGACAAGAAAACAGAGATTCGGTTAATCAGATGTCTCAGGAAAACAAAACCAAACTAAAGAGGGGGGTAACTAGAAAGGTTTCTCCGCTTCCGTTGCTGTGTTTCAACGCCCAGAGTCTCCTCCGCGCTGCAGGGACGTCCCGTGGCCAGAGCTGCGCCTCGGCACGTGGGTCCCTCCTGGGAATGATTGATGTCCCCGCTCGGGGTGGAGAGGGTGTGGGGAGGGCTTGGGTTTGGCTGGCTCTTTGTGGGGGGAAAGGGATGCTGCCCCTTCTCCCCCCCTCCAAACCAGTCAATCAAGAGGCTGTATTCACCATGCCAGGGAGAGCTGGTAGGCAGAGTTATGGGACAGGGAGAGATAGGGCTTAGAGAAAACATTCAGCTTTCCTTCAGTGAATAAAGAGTTTGGTTTTCAGGTGAGCCTGTGGGCTACGAGAGAAGCACAAAGCCAGTCCTGGTGTGTTTGCTCAGGGGACAGACTGGGGCTGCTCCGACCCCAAGCCAAGGGTGCAACTCCGCAAAACCTCGGCCAGCCTGAATTTCTTCTCCAGCCTGAATTCAGTTTTGGCAAAACCAGATCCCAGCACTTAATTTGCAGGAAGGTGGTGGAAAGGGGACTTGTTTCTCCCTTACATTTGATGGGCCCCTCTTTCATCAAGCCAATGTCAACTGATTATCTCCAGCACCAAGGGCAGCTGGCTGTCCTGTGTGTCAGAGGGAGCTGGAAATTGCAGAGATTTGGGAAAAGGCCCTTAGACCAGTCCATTACTGATGGCATCAACCTTCAGCGCACGGTGGTGGTAAATAAAATCCTGCCCTGAAAAGCAAGGGATGCAGAAATGGCAAGGAGTTCTCCTGCTTCACCTGTTTCTGACTATTGAAACTGGGAGCATGACTAGACAATCTTATTTTGTTCTACCAGCAAGCTGCCTGCTTATTATATTGTGCAAATCTGTGCTGCCTGTCATCTGAGGAGACCTAAGTATATTGCAGCATATTATTAATTAACGTTTCACCCCCAGAAAAGCAGGACAGTATTGCCACCTCCACTATTCTAGGAGGGAAACCAAGACCCAAGCATCTGTATGAAACCCCTTTCTCAAGCAGGACAGCTGCAGAAGCAGGCACACCAGCCTGCTGCCCTGACAGGTCTCATGTAAAGCACTGATGCAGGAGGGGGTGGAAGAGAGAACCTACCAAGCCAAAAACATCTATTCCTGTCCTTGGTAACTAACGCAGTTAAAATACCACCCAGGTTTTACAGCCCAGAGCTAATTTAAAGGCTGCTGAGAGACACAAATTGTAATTACAGCCAATGCCTTCCCCCTGGCTTCTCTCTTCTGCCCCTGCTCCCCAGCTGGTGGCACGGGGTCTCATGCCTTCTCTGCAACGCTTGCTAACTCTTAAGCCCCAATCAGCTGTGGAAAACACCTAGGCTGGAGTGAAAGAGAAAAGCAAGCTCCATGCTGGCTGCTTCCACTTCTCTCCCCTTCATCTTCCACTCTCCATGCGCTGATTGCAAGAAAATCCCTGCCTGTAACTGGGACCCCACTGAAGTCCAGTGTCATCCTGTGCTGATTTCTTGGCAACATACGTCTTTAATTCCCCACCTCACCTCCCAAACACAGTATACTTTTCCCATGCCATGAAGCAGGGGTTTTCACTGGATGCCCATCATGGCTTACGCTCTCAGAGACATAATTTTGCTCCCAAGGCAATCTCTGGCTGTTGCTGTTGCACTGTGAAAAGCTCATCCCTTCACCTCTCCCAGCCTAGCTAACCATCCCACTCTGCTGCCCACTTAACCAGCACCCAGATCAAATGCCCTTTCAGCTCAGGAAAGGGAAGGGTTCAAACGCTGGTCACTCAACTGGAGCAACAATGCTAGGAAACCCAAACAAAATGCACTTGCTACTCCCTAGAAATCATGGGATGACATTTCTCTCCAGTGTGTGTCTACAGAGAGAAAGTGCTCAGCTGCTGTGTTGCTTTTCCCCAACACTTCCCACCTAGACTCGGCACGATGGAAGCTGGAGGTTCACTGTCTCATAAAGCTGCCTGTCTCCAGCCAGCTGGGGTGTGGGAGTAGATGGGGAAGAGATGCATGGAGGAAAAAGGAGGCAGTCAGTCAATCATTCCTTTTTTCAGGCAAGAGGTTAGTTACGTTACAATTTCTTTTCTGTACTGCTTGCATTTGCACTTGGGGAGGGGGGCAGGGAGGTAAAAAGAAACAAAACCAGAACTGAAAATGCTGGAGGGAGTCTCTGAAGTTCCAAACCTTGTATGCCACCCTATGAGGGCACTTCTTTCCTAAGCCCAGGGGTGGAGCAATTACACGTAACAAATTGTACATATCCTTATAATGAATCCGGCAACTGGAAAGAAAACATCAGATGTTATGACAGCAAAAACCGAGAGGAATCAGTTTTTCCCCAGGCAAACGGGAGAAGTTGGAAGGGCAAAACACGCTGAAAAGCAAAGTTAGTCTGACAGTAACTGAGATTGCAATGGAGGCGGCACTTTAACAGAGAGAGAGAGAGAGAGAGAAAGAGAGAACTTCCACTGCTGGACAAAATCTATACCCCTGGATTTTCTTCTGTGAGACCTCCAGTGCCATGTGCAAGGCTTTCCAACCATTGCATTTGGTTACCTTTATCACTAATGTTTCACTTCCCTGTGCCTAAGAATCTGCCTGCAGAGGGTCCCTACCCACCACCCAAGTGCTGCCGCAGCCCAACAAAACCAGAGCCTGCAGCACACAAATAGCCTATTCAATGGGTTATTACTGGGCTTCAAATTAGCTGCTTCGAAAGAGCTCGGGAACCTTTACCTTCCACTGTTACCACCTACATAACCCCAGCAGGGCTGTACTCTGCTTCATGGGCAATAAGCAATTTGCTGGAAGTCCAGAAACTGCCATCTCGAGAGCCGTCTCAGCCATTGGCACTGGGAAAATCCAGCCTTCATTACCAGTAGGTGAAATCAGATGCCTCGAGGTAGCTTTATGGTCAGTCTCATTAACTCCCAACAATATTTTCAGCTAATTTAACAGCGGGATTAGATTTCTTAATCTTTTGTAAGTAACCAAATCATGTACAAAAAGAGCTGTACTGAACTTCAAAATGACCTCTGAAGAAAATTGAGATGTTTTGGCTTCACTATGTTTATTTTGGCGCATTATATAAAGAAGGCTGGAATATTTTGGAATATCTCCTTCAATATTACTGCTTTTTTGGATGTGAAAAATTAAGGCCTATTCAAAACCTTCACAATCAACTCAAAACTATTAATTCAGAAACAGATCAAATGGAACTGTGCAAGTCTTGGCTGCAGGCCTAATCGTGGTTATAAAAAGTATATTGGTTTAACTGAGTCAAGAAGTTTACTGACATTTTAGAACAGTTTTGTAAAATCAAAAGTCGAAAATATGTATGAGGAGTTCCCCAGGCTCTGGGGAGGAGTCTGTGGAAGGCCTGAAAACCAGCAGATGTATTGCATGGGAAGGTCATGGCAGCCAATTATGACAAACAAGGATTCTTTCCCAGGTTGTTTAAAGCTGTTTGAGTTTTGTTTATTTTTATGAGCATCCTTTTATCTCAGATAGCTAAGAAAAAGCTCTCCCTGGGGAGCACCTGCACCTCCTCGTGACCACTGAAGGTGCTGCCAGTAGCATCTCCCTCAGCTCTTACGAGCAACTAGTGGGAAAGGGATGGCAAGACCAGCATTTCCAGTATCTCTAAGGGAAGGGGGGGTATAAGAGAGCTACAGCACTCAAACAAATAAAAGCTCATAGAAATCCAATTTTCTTTCTCAGTTCATCCTCAAATGCAATGTTTTCACTCTTTTCCTGATTAACTCCCAGCCCTGGACCAAACTGCTGTGCCCGCCCCATTTCTCTCGCTCTCTCTTTTTCTGTGAGCCCGAGGCTTCCACCACCCCTAAATCCAACAGTTTCCCCGTACTTACCCCTACTGTGACACACACATCTAGAACAACAGCTGCTAGCTGCTTTTTTTACTTCCTTTTGAACGTTTTTCCCCAGAAAACTTTACAGAAAGTTGCATTTTGTAGCAGAACCAAAGGTGATATTGGAAATAGCTATGTAAAAGCACACACATTAAGCCTGTGTTTAAAACATTATCTATAAAACAGAAGTACAACACCACTTGTACTTTTTACCCACGCAGCATCTTTCATCGAGGGTCTCAAGCTACGGGAAGTGGACAAACACTGTAATTCCCTTTTCCTTGGGACAATCAAAGAAGAGACCTTGAGAGAGGTGATCAATTAGTGACAGAGGGAAGTAGGAACCAGCTCACCTGCATCTATGCATAAGATAATACTGCCTGGGAGTCTTCTTTCTTGCAAATTATGCTATGGTGATTATTTACCATTCCCTTTTTTATGGCTATACTGGGAGGAGATGGCTGACACCATTGAAAACAAAAATTGGATCAACATTTTCTTTCAGTGAGTTTGACCAACTAGTGGAACAAACAGCTGAATAAAAAATGGGTCCTCTAAAGCCCTGTGCCTTCAGATCAAAATGGGGTGTACGGCTGGGAGCTGTACCTTAAAAGACAAGTTATTAAGCTCAGTCCATGGATCGCTGCTGTGAACTACCATGTCCAGAGCTTCACAGAAGCTCAGTCCAAATGATCAAAAGATCTGTTCTGGCCTTAAATGGTGAATGGATTTCAGATTACTTTTAAATTGTGGAAATGTTAGTCCTACTTACGAAAATGTAAGTGATTTCAGTGGAACTTTTCACAGAGGGAAAATCCAGAACATGCATATATTTTAGGATCAAGCCTCATGCATCATGTCTTGGCTGTCCTTTGATCTGCACTTCTGCCCCTGGTCACTCTACCAACATCAATAGCTTCACACCAGAGCAAAACAGGAACAAGGTTAGAGAAAAACAGAATTAGGATTTTAATATATGACATATTCTGTATTAACAGCTCTAGAAGTGAGAAGGTTTGGCCCCTGAATGACTCACAAGATGTAACCTCTGCACTCAGAGTTAACAGAGTGAGCAAATATTTCTGTACACTTAATGCTTATGCCTCTTACGGGTGGAAAGTTCCTGAACACATAAACATTAAAAAAGCACATCGGTACTAATTTTTTCCCTTGCAGGTGTGTTACTCCTCCCACAGATGCTAATTAGAGCCAATACTATTTTTTAAGCAGAGAACGGGCACTCCCAAGTTTTCAGTCTCATTGAGATTTTTTTAGTGGTAAGAGACAGGACTGGATTTGGAAAACGAAAAAAGCTATTTACTGCCTGCCAAATACCCACAAAGGACTTGTCTGTGTTACAGAGCACGTGGTAATGAAAATCTGCTTGGCGATTACAAGCTGCTAGTATGTGTGCAGTATATATGCAGGCTCGTAGTACGGATGGCTTTGAGCTAGTTAAAATCACACACAGTTCAGAGAAATGCAGTCATTTTGGAATAGGTTTACATTTCAAGTTAGCCTAAATCAATTTAACTGAAATTTTAAAGTGGTTTAATTGCATCCTAGCAGGGAGTTTGAGATGCTGATGATACAAACACTTTCTGCATCTGTCTCTAGTGAAGGGAAACAAAAAAGAGTGCAAAGATTGGAGGAGCTGGAGGCAGCTTCATTACAAATATAGAGGAGATTCATTGCAGAGTAACTCATGGGGAGGAAAATGGATACAGAATTAGTAGGGCTTTAAGAAAAAAAAAGTCTCCCAATGGGCAAATTCCCAAGCAGCAGAACATCAAGGAAATGACTGTGACCTGTATCTCAGAGCATCTAGAAATGAAAATAACACAGTCCCCAGGACTGTTGCGCAGTAGCTTTCTCTGTGCAATGGAGAAAAGCAGTATATTGAACACAGTCCTGCTCTACAAGTGATCACTGGTGAGAGCCATTCCCTTATTTTTAAAAAATTCTTTAAAATGCTGCAGCAGTGGCCCTTGGCTCTGCCCCGGCGCGGTGCCGCTCCTCCGCTGCCGTGGTAATTAAGCCCAAGTGTGCAGCTTTCCCTGCCACTGTCTTTGAATAAGAAAAACAAAGAGATAAAACCATAAAACCAAACACCTCACCATCTGGCTGTAAGAAAACCATTTCCTCCTTTAACACACTCATATATCAGGAATATTTTATCAGAAGCTCACTGAGAACAGAAATGCTTCCAAAGTCAGGCTTATTGCATTTGTTTCTTACTATTTCGCATGTCTTACGTTTCAACTGCAAGTCCAAAAGCTAAAATACTGTTTAGAAGACCAAAATTCCCTTCTACAATTGGATGTCATTAGGAGGAGACTTCCAAGATCAAAACACCGGGTTTAATGAGATACGTCTATTTGAAAATCACGTTTTCAGCAAACCACCCGTACACTGAGAAACATTTTTTTGTTTGGTCTCAGGTCTCTGCACAGGATTTGTGAAACCATTAAGGTGGTTCTCAGCTACGAAAGAAATGCTGCGCAAATGAGGAATAACAAGGCCTAGCCTCTCAAATTACCTACCTCAAGTTACCTGCCAATGGCAGGAGATTCAGCACATTTTTATCTCCAGACTGGGGTGCAGAAACCAAAGGCCATCCAAGCTCCTTTTGGAAATGCTAAACAGCTTTTCTACTTGGCCATTTAGCCAAGATCATTTGCATACTTACCCTATTGATTTTTGGCTCTGTGTGTGGGGATGAGTGTGTTTTGCTTTCTTAATTTGTTGGTTTACGTCTATCTCGTGTCTATTTGAAGGAAATGCCCTTGTAATGACATCAGGTTTGTTCATCTCCACTGCACAGTGAATTGAAGTTGGAGCATTTACCACCACCGTTACCTCAAGCTTTGGACTGGTTTTCATTCTGGAGCTGTACTCACATTCAAACAGGCTGTTTGTGCGTGTAGGTACAGCATTTATACACAATGGATATCTTTTTTCCCACATATAACAGCGTACATACCAGGCAGCTGGGTCATATTCAGCCCAGACACGAACAAACTCATCCAAATGATGGGGCCCAAGGATGGAGGAGTCTCTTGTCAGGTATTCGAAATTGTCCATAATCACAGCCACAAACAGGTTTAACATCTGCAGAGGAAGTGAAAATGTAGTTAGAGAGAGAAGGAAAAAAGGAAAAGGCAAAGGGAAAGAAAAAGGAAAAGGAAAAAAAGCCGGAAGGGGAGCCGGTATGACTCCCTTAGCAGGGTCTGTGGTTTCTACAAGCAGCAGCTGCACCCCCGATAATAAACTCTACAAACTTAGCCCTGGGTCCCTGGGGACCCTACTGCCACCTCCTCCTGCCTTGCACGCTGCAAGCCACTTCCAGCCCCGCAGTACGCAGCAGGTTTGCCACAGCTTTTGACCGCGGGCAGCTTGGCCACGTCCCCATCGCTGGTGACGCCCTACAGCACGACCCCCCAGAGCTCAGCACCTCTCCCTTAGCCCTTCTCCACCCCACGCCAGCACAGACCAGCACACAGGCTGTAGCAGCTGCTTCACCAGCCGGGTGATGTGAACTCTTCCAGCACTTTCATATCAAGGCACATCAAGATGAGAACAGCTAGAAGAAAACCCATTCTTCAGCCTGAATGTCCTATTTTAGATTCATAACAATTCAAACCTTCAAAGATCCACAGAAAGACAAGGGGCAGGACACACAAAAGGCTCCTGTCCCTAATGGCTGCTGTCTAACACGGAGCCCGGCAAACGCTTCTGGCATATAAAGATTCTCCTCTTATTAAAACCAACGGAAGAGTCACGAGGATTTCAATGG